GTGATAGCTACAGCTAAGAACTGTAAAGCCTGAAATGTGTTAAAGGTGATAATTTTATTGTGGTTTTGACCTAAAATTCAGTAAACTAATGCAGTCATTGGCATCCCATGGTATTCTTGTGTGAGCTGGCACATAGGGGTTTATTTCCTAAAGCTGTAAAGTGCAAATCAGGCACACTTCTGAATAGAAACCAATCAGCTTCCAGGTTTTATTGCCAAAGCTTAAAAGAACAAGCTGAGGTTAGAAGCTGATGCTGGTTTCTATACAGAAGCGAGCCTGATTTTGTACTCTCTAGCTTTGGTAAATAAGCCCCTCAGTGTCATTGGCTGTAATTTACAGTTCACTTAGGCTGTCGGCTGCAAACCCTTGCCCACCCATCTTCCTGATGTCGTTGAAACCCTACCAGTGGCCGAGGATGTCAGCAAGTTGTGTGAATAAATCCTGCCTGCAAGCCTTCTGTGATATGCATTAGTATTTCTAAAGGTACAGGCTTTGTGGCTGATTGAAGGTCTAAAGGTGAAGGGTTTGGGGCTGGCGGGGGTTTGAGATGAAGTGCATTCATTGGGGTGGATCTGAAGTTTGAAGTGAATGCAGTGGGGCTGATCAGAGTTATGAAGTGCATCCATTGGGGCTGATCTGAGATGTGACGTGCATGCTTTGGGGCTGATCTGAGGTCTGAAGCGCGTGCATTGGGGCTGAACATATTTTGTGTGCACCAGTTAGCAGTGCAACTATGAGTGCAAAAACTGACTAATGGCAAGCCGAAGCTGAAATTCAGTCTTAGCTTCAGTATTGCACAGTTGTACAGGCTCCTCTCCTCTACTGTAATTGCTTATTTATCTTTATTTTCATGCATCTTCCGATCCTCCAAGCTCGCCTATCCATCTCGACTTCCTTTGTCCTATGGCCAAGGAAATTCTCCTCCAGCATGAAGTGCTGTCTCTTGAGCAGAGCAAACCCTTCTCCTACTGGGGGCCTGAAATGTGCCCAAAGTAAATGCTTATAAGGGCTGTGTGCACTTGCAGTCACAGCCTGCCGGTCTACTGCAAGACCCGGACACTGGGTTGAAGATTTCTTCACTCTGAAAAGTCTTTGAAATCTCCAATCTCTGGAACCCAAACGTTGAAAATTAAGATCCAAGGAAAACCAAAAATCAGTTTTGTCCGCTTTGAAATTCCGAAGCCCCGCACTCCGCATACATATGAAACCTGTGTCCTATCTACATCCATTTTCACTGTGGCAGGGTCTCACACTGTAACAGAGTATACAAACCTTTAATTTATGTATGTAAGCACTTCATTGCTAAAAGATATGACTATACCTGATTTATGTGTAACCAAAGATAATCTCTCAATAATAGAAAACTGTGTCCTGGTATATTGGTTGTTCTACTGATGTTCTCTGTAATATCAGTAAAAACACGTAATAAAATATAATCTTTAAACAAAAACACATACATGAATTATTTTTTTGGCCTTGATTACTTATATTATAGAAAATTTAAGTTGTGTCAAATATAATAACTTAAAACTAAACTTTGGGAATTTAGAAAGCATCTACCCTTGCAGTGGGGCCCCGTGTTGCTCATTTCCTCTAGGGGTGCTGGGATAAGGTTTATAACTTACTCAATCCCTTGATCCAGCAGGCTTGGCTCTGTTCTCTTCTTCCCAAAGTTCCAGGTAGTAGGCGATTCCTCAACATCATCAGGTACAATGCAGAGCTATTAACCCTGCATTGTATGTGAAGTAGGCAAAAATGCAGCTGCATCCACATTACCAACACATTGGGTATTTTCTGTTTCATTAAAGAACCTAGCACACCTAATATTAAAAATCTATGACCTGTTTAATTATTTCAGGTGCTTATATAGCGCCATCAATTTACTCAGAGGAGGACTAGTGCGAGAATTATTGCTCTTGCTCTGACGTTCGTGGCGATACCTCACGTGTGTGGTTTGAACACCATTTACACATATGTGGGCATGGCCTACGTATGCATTCACCACTCACTGTGCGAGGATGGGGGCACTTTAAACTTTTTTTAAAAAATGTATTTAATGTTTTGGTTTTTTTTTTAGCACTGTTCCTTTAAAAAAAATTTGATCACTTTTATTCTTATCACAAGAATTGCATGCATCCCTTGTGATAGAAATAATTAGCGACAGGTCCTCTTTATGGAGAGATATGGGGTCAATAAGACCCCACATCTCTCCTCTGCAATGTAAAGCATTGGATCAAAAAAAGCACTGATCTAGTGCTTTAAAAAAAAAAAAAAAAAGAAAGCCCGGAACGGGAAGTGACATTGCTCCAGTCCTTCAAGGGCACAGAGATGTGTGGCGGCCATCTTTCCTTCACTCATTTCTATGCTCAGCGCCAGGATCGATGGTTTATCAGGTAAGGCTGAACTACCGAGTGGTAGGGTTTTTTCGGCACCTTTTCATCACGGCCGAAAGGGGTGTTTTTGGCCACTGAAATTTCGGTGCATCCCTAATATATTGTACATTCACATCAGTCCCTAACAGTCTAAGGTCCCCAATTTACATTCATACATACACATACTAGGGCCAATTTAGACAGGATCCAGTTAACCTACCAGCATGTCTTTGGAGTGTGGGAGGAAACTGGAGTACCCGGAGGAAACCCACGCAGGCACAGGGAGAACATGCAAAGTCCAGACAGGTGGTGGCTGGGATTCGAACCAATGACCACTATGCTGTTAATTAGCTTAAGTTATATCTTCCTCAAATCACTACCCACAATTGTTCTTACCACTTCCCTCTATTTAGCCATCAACATTTCACCAATATTATGCAATTGTGGAAAGCATACATTTTATTCTAATATATTTGCTTTACTTAATACCACGTGACCTCTATCAAAGTGTCATATAGCCCTCTTGATGGTATTTTATACACTAATCCATTTTTTTTCAGGGATTTACTCAGGAAATTTTCAACCTTACATTGTGTATTTACACTTTTTCATAAATATACTGTAATCTCGAATTTGATCTTGTGAGTAGGACTACTTCCTCAATTTCATTTGATTTATAAGTTGATCAAATGTTAATATCCCCCCTCTCCTTATAACATACACTATATTTATGTAAATCCTGTTTAATAACATAACATACTTTGAAACATGTCATTGAACCACCAATGTCAGCAGTAAATGATAAATTGCTAGTTCTACTGAATTCACCTCATAAAGCAGCCTACTCATCCAGCTTTTTGGCTTGTACTTCTGGGAATTCTGAAGGATGTAGTAGCTAGAAGAATCATGGGAACACCATGCTAACTTCTCTACAGAATCTAATTCAGGAGGCAAAGATTTTCTCTTTAAGGGAGAATTTCCCAAAAGGGAGGTTGTTCGCTTTGCTGGTTTCTCATTTGCTTCTTGCATGGAGGTTATTCTGATGCTTCAAACAGTTGAGTATCTAACCTAGAATAAGCATGCTAATAAAAAATGTCTGATGTCCTAATATGCCTACTTGTTCTAAATTTGGGAAGCCAATGTGTTAAAAGAACAGCCAGGCAATTAGCATCTCAGAAGAAGGCCAGCAATGACAACCCCAATATTTTTCCTAGCAGAAGTGTATTTTAATGAAGTAAATAGATCTGTAAATACTGTATATGTCAGTATGCATCCTGTCTACAAAATTTGGTTTCTGTTATAGTGCAAAAGGAAAATGAAAGTAACTCTATTGCATGCTAAAAATCTAAACAATGGTTCCCTGCAATAAAGGATTATTTGACAGGAGTGTTGAATGCAGTGTTGTCAGTATTTTTACTGGCAGCCAGTAAAAAATGGGCAGTTTTCTCCTGCTAGTAAATGCCAGTGACAGGGAAAGGTTGCCAGTTAGAAATATGGTTGTGACACTTGACTCCGAACTGCGCATGCGCAGTTCCAGTCCTGCATCTGTGGGATAGGAGCAAGGCAAGCTGGCAGCGGGACTGTCAGTGCTGTTTGGACTGGAGTGGACTGAAGGGACCACCTGGTATGGAGAGAGACTGTCATGTGACTCAGGAGCAGACGTGTCATATCGGTGAGGTGTCATCATTATCTGTGCTGCTGCACACTGATGTCAGCATCACTGTGAGAATCAATTTCATGTGTGTGTGTGCTCCTGCCCATTCTAATTTCTTGCACTCTTGTCCCTGAGCTACTTACTTACTATATGGAAAATAAAATAAGAAAGATTTTTTTTAATATGTACCTTAAATCACATTGCTAATTGCATATTGTAATTGTCTGTAGCCTAAATACTGAAATTTGCACTTTAAACTGTAATTTTTAACTTTTGGATTGCCTGTAAAATATGGGTGTCTTGTCAGTGAATTGGGAAATGCTAGTAGAAACTTGGCTGTGCCAGTAAAATATGGGTGTCTTGTCAGTGAATTGGGAAATGCTAGTAGAAACTTGGCTGTGCCAGTAAAATATGGGTGTCTTGTCAGTGAATTTCAATCTGGTAGGTTGACAACACTGGTTGAATGTGTCTCCTCGACACACTGTGGTTCCTCCCACCAGTTCCTACATCACTGCTGAGTAATGTAAGAGTGAAAGGAGAAGCACAAGTGCAAGGCAAGGGACCAGGCATGTAACACTCCTGGAAGTGTTGAACACTGAAGACATATTCACAGTCTTTTTTATTGAAGGGAGACATTGTATCGATTTTGAGGGTGAAGGGGCAACAGAGCCTCTTTAGGCAGCATCTATTGACCAGCTTACCATTAAATACTGCAGTTGAGATATGTCTAATTTCATCCAATAGAACAGTAAGACTATTCACATGTCAATTTTTTTTCCCATTAAAGGCTTACTTAACTAATATGCTTTTACGTCACACCTATCCAAACTTCTGATAAGACGTGATTCATGACTTGTTTTGCAGAATGAACAAAGTAAAATATTGATCCAAGAACAATAGGCAACTCTCTTTCTATCCTTCTGTGATTTATGACAGGATACACAGAAGCACGCTTAAACATTTTATTTGCAATTTTAAGGGGAAGAATATCTGCCAGCAAAAAGTATGTTCCTAGTAATATTATGACGAATAAAGAAGAGAAAGGGATGATCAGCATTGAATTCCTCTTCAGGTAGCAGACACATCAAGGCAATGCCAGCAGTAGCAGCAGCTGCCTCTGTACCTTCTTCATTCACCTCCACAAATGTCTTGTGAACAACCTCAGATAAGAAAAGATTTTTGGATCCTGACATTCCTGAGAGATCTGCAGAACCTGCATCAAAAATATCCACCATTCCTAGAGTACATAATACCGATTTCAGCTTGTAACTATCTTCCAGCTTGAATTTTGGCAGGTGTACATGGACATCAATGGTATTCATATGTTCTGGTTGTGTCCACTCCTGAAACTTTTCAACAGTCAGCTCTCTTTCAAGCTACAAAATGCAAATGATTTGTGTAAAAATATAAGATCAGTGTTGCATATAAACATTACACAATAACTATAATCAATATTTGCTGTCCTAAGCCTCCTATCTTGAATTGTTTTGCAGTTGTACTGTCTCCCCTTACATTATGAAGTGGTGTGAAAACTGTTGGCATCACATAAATCATGTATAACAATAATTTGGCTCTTTTTTTTGTTTTTTTTTACAGGGGAAACCACACATATGTGCTGCATGTTTATATTACTTTATGGAGAATGCAGAAAAAGGCAGGAGAGTCTAGTTTAGAGGAAGGGACTAGAGCAGGGGTGGGCAAACTTTTTGACTTGAGGGCCGCAATGGGTTCATATATTGGACCCGGGGGCCGGACCAAGAGTAGATGAATGATGTGTATGTGTCATCCATAGTAAGTATAGTAATATTCCCCCATAGTAAGCATAGTAATTAATCCCCCATATAGTAATTCATCCCCCATATAGTAATTCATCCCCCATAGTAATTCATCCCCCCTATAGTAATTCATCCCCCCTATAGTAATTCATCCCCCATATCAAGTCCCCCCTGTGTCAATTCACTTACCTTTGCTCCGCGCGTTCCTCTCGCTGTGTTCCTGCTTCGTTCCGGTGTAGCCTGAAAATCTGTCTCCTATGAGGATCTGTCCCCCTCGACGTATCTGCGCATGTGCCAGTTTCAGGCATTAGCAGCCAATCGGCGATCTCCGGCACATGCGCAGATACGTCGAGGGGGACAGATCCTCACAGGAGACAGATTTTCATGCTGCACCAGTCTTCAGGGCAGACTGTGAGAGGAGCCTAGCGGGAGCCTAGCTCCGCGGGCCGGATTAAAAGGTCCGCCGGGCCGTAGTTTGCCCATTGCTGGACTAGAGCAAGGAGACTTCCTGAATCCCCAGATGATAAAAGATGTTTCAACCCACTAGGATTTATGCAAACTTGAAGGTGAAATATCAATTTTGGCTGGCCAAATATTTAACCAGTTGTGGATGCACCCAAAAAACCTTCAAAGTACACAGGATGTGTGCAGTACATTCAGTTCTCCCATCTATGCAGCTCCTCCTCCATTTCCGTAAGCCAGCAATTCATGGCTGTCAGGAGTTTCTGTGTAACTACAGAAACTATAATAGCTGATGCTGTAATAAAAAATCTGCTCTGTTTCTTTTATTTAGAAATCAATGGGATGAGCTTCGATTTGAATATGATATTAGTTGAACCAACTTGACAAGCAAAAAACATATAGATAAAAAAAAAAGTTTTATCCACTTTCAGTCCAGGCCAATTAGATTTTCTGAAAGCATAGAACCTGGAGAATAAAATGGTGACTGCTGACCTGACATTTGTAACCCAGTGGATCATTTTAAAACCTTAGTTTTCCAAAATTATCCTTTGCAGTCTTTTTCCACCATTAACTGGCCAACTATCTACCAAAACAATTGATATTGTTATTTATGAGTATTTTTACCTTTTGTAACCCAGTGGTATCATCATCAATGCTGTCAGGCAACATAATAATCATGCTGAGTTCATTGTCCACATATGGAAGCTCTAGGATACGACAGTTAATTTCCGGGACATAGTTGAAGGGAAACTTTTTCATTTGATACATCATTTTTACTGTCTTCTGCTCATTCTAAGGAAAATAAAATATATAATATTGTTATTCATTAAAACACTAGGAACTAATCTGAATGCAAATGAAAATAATGATTTTAAAACCATAGTTACATTATTCTGGAAATGATTATACTGTACATAATGCTGTGATGGAGTGTATAAAGAAGTTCTCTATTTGAACAAGGACCTGTGCTAAAGATTTAGTCAGGTGTGAAGAAATTCTATAAAAGTAAGACTGCTTTTAAAAACATATTTTACCCTACTTTCACACTGATGTAGTGCAATTTTGATCCGATTTTCAAGTGCAGTTTGATTCACCTGTGATTTCTGTGCTGGGGAAGAAAGCCTGATGGAATCGTATGACAATAGGACAGATAAGGGATTTGAAAGCATTTCCATTGAAGTCTATGGACCACAGAATTGTGACACATCACACCAAAAAACCACAGGACCCTTTCCCAAAGTTAGATCGCAGCTGCACTGCATTGATGTGAACAGTCTCCATAGAAACCAATATTATTACCCTAGCCATGTGATTCAGTGCGATCCGAATCATTCAGTGGTTGCCAGTGCTTGATGCACACCAATGTTTATCTTTGCAATGCCTGGCATTATTTGAAACAGATTACTAAAATGTTAACAGTAGTACCTGAGATACATATGGTACCTTGACATTACCTTGTTTAGCCTGAATGGAGCTTCAGTTGTTTGTTCAACATTAAATTTTTCAGCCCAGTCACCTTTGAAATATAAAGCATTCACTAGAACTAATTTGGTTGCTGAATTCACACATCCTGCAGACAACACTTCTGGGATCTTTCCTAAAAAATATATGATATATAAATAAGTTTTAAACAAACTGAACAACAGTATATACACAGTACACACACAGACCCAGTGCATAACATAACAACTTAGAGAGGTGGGGTGGAAAAACAGCAGCACACTCTAGCATGTCAGCAGAAATCTGACCATTGGAGGACAGGCAGGTTGCTCTCCCAGTACAGCAAGAAAACTGACCATGCTGGGGTAGATGTGCTATCATGCCTAGCATGGACAGTTTGAAATGTGAAAGCGGGCACTGGCAGGATCACCAGGTATTTCACACAAAGGAAACAATGCAAAGAAAACAGGATACTTTTTAACACAGGTATAGTACATGGTAATACTGACAAATATCAGGAATATGAAATGTTGGGGTAACATACACTTTATGGAGAAGTATGGGCAAAGCTTTTTTGGCCATGCTTCTCCTGTGGGGTCTGCACTCCTGTGACCAGGGATAAAGCATGCTGTCGGCTGACATCACAGAGCAAGTCCAGTTTCTGCAAGGATCCTGACAATAATGTCAGGATCTGTCCAGATGCCTAATCGACAACTGGCTCAGCCTCTCAGCATGCTGCTGAGAGCCTGAGCTAGACCTCCTTGTCCCCTCCACAGTCTGGTGCTCTAGTGAATGCTGGTGGGGCAGAGCGGAGATTTGTTCAAGGGTGGCTTGACTGATAAAAGGTTGAGAAAAGGTGATCTAGATCATTTTCTGGGGCAAATCTTGTTGCAACTTACTTTTCTACTAAATATGTGTTGTATTCAGTTTTTAAATGGCATACTAACCTTTTGTTTGTTCTGAAACCCAAGCATTGATTTCTTTTCTTGCAGCTTCATGTTCAGTTAAGAAGTCAACGGTGCCTAGTTTTGCCTGATATAGACTTTGCAGTGAAGATAAAAATCCCTGGTAAGAAGCAGCAATTTGTTATGTTAAACTCCAAACATCATGTCATATGATCAATGACTACAATTAAATGTACTAGATGTTGTAAAGAAAAAACACAATTCATTTTTTTTTCTGGCAAGATACTGCAAGAGCACCATTTAGCTTCATTGCACGTCTTCACATTTACGTTAAGGAGCTCTAATTCCTGAAGCTAAAGCAGAACTTTACCCATAACAATTTTTTAACAAATAATGTTCTTCAGCAAGAAACACATATTCCACATTTATATTAATGCTACCAAATTAGTGTGTGCTGTAAATGGCCTCCAGCATTGTTCCGGTTTCTGCTTGGCCATTTTGCTGAAGCCCAGAGCCTCTGCGCAGCAGTATATCTTCAGGCTGTCAGCAGATCAGCCTCTATGTTTTCTGCACAGTGCTGAAAAATAGAGAGCAACTGAGCATGTGCAGAGCAGGGTGAGACTGTGTATTACTGGATTTTAAACAGAATGGCCATTTATTTTTAATGTTTTGCATAGCTATACCTGCACAATGGGCCAGTCTGAAGTCATTTAGCAGGTCCTAATTTTCTAACTAAAGTTCCACTTTAAAAGAATTTGTCATAATAGAAACATGGAAACTGCCATTGCTAGCTTATTTTGCTATTTAACTTCTGCCTAACTTTCACAAGGGCTGCCATCTTGTCAGTGGCTTTATTAGGATTACTAATCACAGACGGTGCATGCTCACCATGTCAATCTACTGGAGGTTCCTCCCCTGTCATTTCTTTTCTCTTGGTGTAAGGAAAACTTGTCAGCAGTGACTCTTGCTGATAACATAGAAATGAGACAGCAGACAGAAATAACACTTAGTGCTCTGGATTGAGGCAAGTACACACTATAGAGGGATATACTTTGTTCATGTCTGAGGTTTACAACCACTTTAAAAGTGAAGAGGACATTTAGCTCTGAAACTACTGCTGCTTCTGTTATCACCTGCACTATGCCACAGTTCTATGGTAAGGCAAGTGTACGGGGAGATATTTGCCCATTGGGCTGGTGGGTGTTAGGATGACCTACAGTCTCTTTCTTTCTTTTAATAAGTGCATAATCTGCAGTTTGTAACCTGCTTTTGTCACCCGCAATGGCTGTAGACATGTGTAGGTACTGGGTCAAGTAACAAGGTAAGCATTTCGTCAGTGGGCAGACAAAGTCTTTCAGTAACGTCCTCTGAAACTTGACTCTGGTCTCATGGTTTCATTATGTCTTTTCTCCCCTTCCTTCCAGGTTTGGCAGATCTTTCTGCCAAGCCAGTTTCGTCATGCTGCTTCTCTCTCCTCCCCATTTGGGTCTCACTGTGCGTTCTGTCACCCTCCTCCCCGGTCCATTTACTCTGCCTCTTTTTTCCCCTCTTCCTTATTCCGGCCTTTTTGCCTTTTTTATCACTCCTCCCCATCTCCACTTCTGTCCTGGTTA